TGCTGAGCTTGTATCCAGGGGAACATGGTGATCCATAATATCAGTCTCACCCCATGTACCTACACCAGGTGCTAGAAAAAAGCTCCTGTATCTATTCCTGTATCATTCTAGATAAAGTTTTGAACAGTAAGACCCAATCTGCCAAAAAAGCAGCAGCAAATTTAGGCTCTCATGGAGTAGCTAGAGCCAACGTTGGCTCATCCATTTGCCACACTCCCATCCATCCATCTTCCCCACTGCTATGTTGTAGCAGTGATGCTCTCTCTTCTTCGGGGGTGTCACCTAGGCCAGAGACTCCTCAGTTTCTCATGGGGACAGAAGAGGTAACAGGGCCACCTTAACAACCAACAACTCCTTTTGAAATAGCAGATAGCCCTGTAGCGTTCCCCTGTTCTTAAGGAATAACCTCCTCCTGCTATGAACCAGTTCAACTGTTTCTCTAGTTCAAGAAATAGAAGTTTGGACTGGAGGTGCTGAATCTGGATTGTGCTGTGTAATACAGGATTATTATTATTCAATTCTCAGTGGTGAATAAAAGTAACAAAACAAAAAGCCTTACCTCCATGCCTGGGAAGTTCATTCAACAGATCCTCCTAGAAGCTGTGCTAAGGCACATGGAAGACAGGGAGGTGATTCAAGGCAGCCAGCATGGCTTCACCAAGAGCAAATCCTGCCTGACCAACCTAGTGGCCTTCTGTGATGGAGTGACTACATCAGCGGACAAGGAAAGAGCTACAGACATGGTCTATCTGGATGTAAGGCATGGTCCCGCACAACATCCTTCTCTCTAAACTTGAGACTTACGGATTTGGTGGATGGACTGTTTGGTGGATAAGGAACTGGTTGGATGGACACATGCAGAGGGTAGTGGTCAACGGCTCGATGTCTGGATGGAGATCAGTGTTGAGTGGTGTCCCTCAGGGGTCTGTACTGGGACCAGTGCTGTTTGAAGCCCAGGTGGGACAGGGCTCTGAGCAACCTGATCTAGCTAAAGATGTCCCTGCTCACTGCAGTGGGGGTGGACTAGATGACTTTTAAAAGTTCCTTCCAACTCAAACTGTTCTATTATTCTATGAGAATTAAGAAGGTGAAGGAATATTACTAGAACATTAGGAATATTCCGGGCATATGCATTCTTATCCACATTCTAGTTACAGATTTTTTTCAAAATACATTTTAAAGACTTTGGAAAAGATGTTACAAAGCAGCAGAATAATGTTACATATAATTGTTATAATTCACACTACTTATTCAGAGCTTGCTATTTATAATAGAGAAAGAAGAGAGCCCAGTAATTCCAACTTATTATTCAACTACCATTAAAACTATTGAATTATTTCTTATAGATCTGCAGTCAGCTCTACTAAAACAAGTTAGTATTTCTAACCAATCTATGTTTCATAACACGTTCACAAATCACCACTGAATGAAACAGCTTCAGGGAAGTGCTTTGCTTTGTTTTTAACTTTCAGACTGTTCCACTGATTGACGGGACATCCAGCAGCCCCGCTGCCTTAGTTCAATCTTACTGAAAGCCAAGGCATATGGGAACTATCAGATACGCCCTGTGCTATTTACAGGGTTTTAGTAATAAGGCACAAGATGAAATCTGTATGGTTTTCTCCTATTACCCCACAGACCCCAGTAAAAAGCTTACATATGTATAATGTCTGGAACTTATGGTGATGCGTAACTGAACCATCAACAATACAACGTAACTGCATTTTCTTGAAGAAAGCTGCCAGTGAAAGGTGATACATGCAACGGCATGGCAGATGTGTAAACACTCCTTTTACATTTAGAACGTGCTCTTATTAATATCCTCTGCCATTACGCTCATCAGTCTCAAAGGTACAGAGAGATGAGGACAGCTCTCATTTGGATTTATTACAAAGACTCAGTGGAAAAAAAAATTTCAGTGCCTACTTAACTTAATGACCCTGGAAAATGTTAACACATATTTCCTTGTTTCAGCAGTTATTCCGTCCCATGACTGTCATGATATTCTCTCTGCTGAGAACAGTAAGTGCCTCATGTATCATTCACTTGACAATTTTTTAAGTATACTGCACTGCTTTATTATTATTGAAAATCTGATTATGAAAACTTGCTTAAACTAAAAACTTATGAAAACTCGAACTTGCACACTCTGCTTGACAAAAGACGACTGTCAACTGAAGCACTAGGTCAAGAAATATATTCTAAGTGTGTTTACTGAGTTATTTGATACAATATAGAGGCACTTAAGAAGCTGGGGATAAAAAAAGTTCCAACAAATAACATTAAAGTGTCAGAAAAAAATTACACGTATACAATATACTGAGGTGGAGTAGTTGCAATTGTAAATTGTAAATAAACTCTTGCAAACAAACCAAACTTACTGTAGCCCAAAATTCCATTCATTCCCTTCACATTATTTTTTCAGGCTTTTTAATAATGATACACAGAAGACCAACCATTTATTGCATATATTCAGCATTGCTCTCAGAACATCAGAAAAATCTACTTGACAGTATATTGTGCTTTTACCCCTAAAAATTAATTTGGTATGGATATTGAGAAAGTGGTAGAACATTAAAGTACAAACAAAATATCAGACTAGCAAGATGGGATGTCATTTTGTTCTGATGTGAAGGTAGCATGATACCAATGCAATATGGTCTCAGTCTCTTTCACTAGAGCACATGGCAGTCAGTAGCACTTGCATTCATCCATAGAGATCTATGTACAAGTGCAGTAACATCAGTTAATACTTCCCATTTTTCTTCATTTACACACAAAATTAAATGAAAAAGAAAACACCACTTACTTGCTTTTCCCTTTGTATACTGTAGCATAGGACCCTTCCCCTAGTTTTTCCAGTTTTTCGTATGAGTCCGCTTTTCCAAACTTGGGGCTTGTAGGCTAAACAAAACAAAACAAGATGACCTTTCAGTATGTATCGCACCCACAACATTAACTGCTTTGATTCAGCTTTTAGAGAACAAACTTCATTATCAAAACTCATAGACCTGCACGTTTTCAGTAATCAACAATTTAAAAAAATAATTAATAGCAGAGCTAATGAAACAATACAATAGGCTACTCAAACAAAACATCATTAAACGCCCCAGATGGTGGTTGCCGATATCAACCATACACTTAGATCACTGGAACTATCAAAAAGATTTTTTTCGTAATCAAAGAGATGTTCCTGTTTTATTTTTTACATATATCACTTCATACAGAGAAAATGATCATTAACAACTAAGCCATCTTATCTTTGCTAAGAGATCCAAGCAACAGTCTTAATCTACCCTACAAAATCAGATTAAAAGAGCTGCTAATCTTTTTCATTTTTTTTTATATTTCTACTAAATCCCACCCAAAAACATTGCTCTAAGTAGTCAATGTCCCAGTACATCCACCATTGTTCAGATAGTGGTCAAAATACTACAGGAAAGCATTTTTAATGAGAGTATCTTGATTCTTAATTATGTTTACAGTCTTTAGATTGTGGATCTAATCACATCATACTTTTAATGGCATGTATATACAGCATAGTTGAATAAAGTCCTGTAGCCTCAGTACCTGCAGCCTAAGCGAAGGGTCTAAAACTGAACAAAGCGAAGCAATGACTCTTGCTCAAGGGGCCAGATAGCTCAGCTGGCCTTTGCAACAGACTGGTCCTTGCCCCATTTTTACACAGTCCTAACAGAGAACACAACACTGCAAAACCAGAATTCACCTGATGTGAAAACTGCAGCTGCCTGCAGCATTATCTACATATATCTTAGACTGCAGTGCTCAGATGTCCTGTACCTACACCAACCAAAAGAGTATAGAGCAGAAACTTTGGAGGGTCAACGCTGACGCTCAAATCACAGACAGGGACTGATTTGTTAGCGCTCTGGTTATAACAGCACAAAGAAAAGCAGCCAAGCAAATCCAGCAAGTTTAGGGTTCAATTCAACCAGGAGACTCTAAGCCATGCATGGCTGCACATAGTGTACACTCACATTTGGGATCTTACACATGATTTACAAAAAGCACTCAAGTTTCAGTTTTTCTGAAAGGAAACAAACATAAGAGTACAGGACACATCTGTGTGTAAATTCCTTTAAAACCATGGTCGACAGTTTTAAATCAACCAAGCCTAAAAGTTATTTCTACTTAAACAAACAAGAGCATCCCAGGTAAGATGACTTGGTACCTCATACTTCTCCACTCCATTCATTAGCCAGAAAATGGCACAAATTCTCTTTACTCAACTACTCTACATTTGTCCTAGGACAAAATTCTGGCCCTTTGGAACATAAACACCTTTTTTTGATACTAACATCCCAGTTTTCTATTGAATGGTATCAGGATATACACATGTATGTTTAGAAAATTGGGCCCTTTCATCTCCAATACAGAAGAATCTATTATTTTGCCACCCAATTCCTAAATACTACTAGACTGAAAAAAACTGTCATATGGGTACTCTCAGATGTTTTTCCTGTTACATTATTTGGAACACTTCATTATAGATAAGGCAGTTATAGTCTCTGTTCCCGATCTGTGCTTAAAAACGCATTCTGCCTAGTTAGAAATTAATTCTTAGGGTTTCCTTAAAATCACAGTTTTATTACAGATGTCACTAATAGAAGTTACTAAAATATTTATTCAAGTAGCATTCTCATTTAAGCATCCAATTATGGACTAATGGCACATTACAAAACTATAGGAAAAAAGTGTTTAGATGTTTAAGTGTCTCCCACATAATGAAGAGGGATAGCAAAGTATTTCCCAAATTGCAGGCTGCAGTGAACACACAGTGAGCAACTTTGTTTGGAGTGGAAATGCTGCCCTAGTTAACAGTGAATAGTTCACTGCTGGTTTCCTCATAGCGAGGAAGAAAAAGGACAGGGTTTATACATGTGTTTCACATACATTCCTATTTTCACACTGAGATTTACCTTTATTTTGTACTGCTGGAAACCATAATATAAAGGTCACAACAACTTGTAATGCCTTAAGATCTTTATGGGAAACAGGATGCCTTTAATCCACTACCACACAGTAAAACATTAGCAGGAATTATTCCTACAACCTCAAGCTCATTTCTCCGTATCCCAGCTGCCAGAAGCATGGACTTAAGGTCATGACTTTTGACTCATTCTCCTCCTGGAAGCTGCTGCATCCTCAATGAGAATGGGCAAAATGCTAAAAGCTCACACTGGTGGGACCAGGATGAGACCTCACTCCTGAATGTACAAAAGAGGTGCTGGTTTTGACTGTCTTCTCCTCAGGGACAACCCCACACAGTGCCCCAGGGCTCATCTCTGCAGCAGTAAGGCTGATCTGCCACCCTCACCTGCCTGGTGCCTGCTCATGCTGGGTAAGTGCAGACTGGAAACAACCTGAAAACCAGCAGAAACCCAACCCATCAGCCGCCATCTGTCCCATATACAGCAAAAGTAGGTGGCTGAGAGCCTCCTCTTTCCTGGTGACAGCACCTCCATGGTGGAGCTCAGCTCTATTCCAACTGGATTGCTAAAATGGGAAATCCCATGTTCTCACACTGTTAGATCTGTCTCTGTGAAAATGGACATCATTTTTCCTTGCATTTGTCATTTTAAAAGCCTAACACTTTTTGAAGGTATCTGGTGTAGAAAAGCACTTCAGAGGATTAAAAAAAATTAAATAAATCCTGAGGCAGCAGCAGACTTTGCAAACTAATTTGCATGACATTTCTTAATGAAACACCAAGAGAGAGCTCAGTCAGCACATGTAATTACCTTAGATACCTTAGAAGATGAAGGAACAAGCTTACCATTTCTCCAACATTTTCTCACTGTCTACGGGAATACACATGCACAGAGATTTGTGCGTGTTGAGTCACATGAGTCCCACATTCTGCCTAGGATGTGGCTGACTGAAATACAGATAGCGAGTGAGACATATTCAGAGCACATCAGATACACAGTGCTTGCATCAGTCACTGACATATCTCACATGCAGAAGATTCACAAGAAGTTCCCCTACATCTTAGAAAGCTAATGCAATCCTCCAATTTGACCCAGACAAGATTTTTCAACAGAAGAGTACTAATTTTAGCCTAATTTCAGCTTATTTAGCTGAATGCACCTATTTAGATGTTTGTTCAAAGCTACTTTTTGAAGATCTAACATTACAATGCTTCTACCGCTACTACTATTTTCCTTTCTTCTTACTCCTCCTACTACTCCTGCTTTTTAACCCTCAAAAACACCAACATTAAAAAAAAACAACCAAAATAACAAACACAGAATTTTAGAATCATTTAAGTTCAAAAAGACCCTCAAGATCACTGAGTCCAAAACCTAACACTGTCAAATTCACCACAAAACCATGTCCATAACACATCTTTTAAACACCTCCAGGGATGGTGACTGCACCACTTCCCTGGGCAGCCCATTCCAACGCTTGACAACCATTTACGTGAAGAAATTTTTCCTAATATCCAATCTAAGTCTCCCCTGGCACTCCTCCCATCCTATCACTTGCTACATGGGAGAAGAGACAGACCACCACCTTGCTACCACCTCCTTTCAGGTAGCTGAGGGGTTTCTCCTCAGCCTCTTTTTCTCCAGGCTAAAACCACCCCAGTTCCCTCAGCCACTCCTCATGAGACTTGTGCTCCAGACCCTACAGCAGCTTTGCTGTCCTTCTCTGGACACACTCCAGCACCTCAATGTCTTTCTTGTAGCGAGGGTCTCAAAACTCACAGTATTCAAGGTGAGTCCTCACCAGTGCAGAGTATAAGAGGATAATCACTGCACTGTTCCTGCTGGACACTATTTCTGGTACAGGCCAGGATGCTGTTGGCCTTTTTGGCCAACTGGGCATGCTGCTGGCTCATGTTCAGATGGCTGTCAACCAAAATATGTCACGACATAATGTGAGTGTGACCTTTGCCACGTCTGAAAGCTGGTTATTTTCTGAATGTGTAAAATTTTTGTTTACTTAATTAAAGCCTTCACATCTTTCCTATGAAGATTTTGTCATGATTTGTTGGATATAAGCCGAAGGAGATCTCCCTATGGCCACACAGACTTGGATATACTGAACATCAGTGGGACTAGTTAGGCGTAAAGAACACCATTGCTCAGTGTCAGAGCTTTGTATTTGGTACAAAAAAAAAAAAAGAAAAAAAATAATTCTTTAATGAGCAAAAAGTTAAACAGGCAGCAAACAACCTGTCAGCAAGATATTGATATCACTGAAAAGGGAGAAATGCCAGGGAGAAATATTCTAGAGAACTCAAATGCAAGATAAATTAATTACTAAAACAGAAAGGGTAAAGGTCCTCATGCCTCTGAAGAATTTAAAGTAGTCCCAAGTCACTGAAAGTCAGCACAGGTTGTGGTGGATCACATTATACCCAAGAGGGCATCGGCAACTGGAGCGCAGAACAGTGCATGTTTTTTTCCCTTCGGGAAACGCATGGGGAGTTTCACTTGTTTGTCTTCATGCTTCACTTTCCTAGAAAATAATTTCTATTAAGGTAGTTTTCATATTATTGGCCTACATTTTTCACAGTGCAAGATTAGCCTAAAAGCATGGGGAGTGAGCATCTTCAGCAGCATGGCTTACAGTCAAGATTGGATTTATTTTTCCCCTCTGGTTAAGGAAATACAGATCATAGTAACAAGGATAGAAAGAGTATACCAAAATGTTGAACACAGAAATAGAAGAAGCTACTATTTCAAAGTGACGTAAGAGTATTAAAAATTACACGGAGAAAAAGAAATGAGAGGAAACTCAGGTCATTTCAAATAGCCATTTCATTGCTATAGACCATAGGAGGGTAAGAGGTTTAATCCAAGATGTTGCAGTATGAGCCCTTGCACCACCTTGCCATGTGAATACTTCTCTTTCTCAGAAATTTTGAAAATCTA